ACCCAGCGAAACCGTACTTTCTGGAGGCATCCATCGCCGATGCACCCGATGCGATGACAGCATTCGCTCCTACAATATGGGCAGGAAGACCATCCGCCAACGTCCCGCCAGTTGTGCAAGCATGCCTGGCAAAACACATGTCCTGGTAAGTGTCAGTCGCTTAGCTATACGCAAAGGAAGTCCGTACGTACCACACTTGGTGAATGCGGTCGGATTGACAATCGAGTTGTGGCAGATTCTGTATTCACTTCCGAGGCCATAGATGGGTCTCAGTGGTTGGGTTGGCGGCCAACGCTCCTGATGGTCTCCGCTGCGACATGGCTTCGCCGAGGGTCCTTTTGCACACCTAGAACAGATCGCCTTCGCGGCGTCAGCAAACTGCAGGCTTGAACCCCAAGGTTATACTTACACAACCACAACCTGCGAACTGAAACATTCCGGTGTCGTTGTGGAGATTGTCCTCGCATCACATATGCGAGAGAGGTGATACCTTCACGCGGCGCAGGTTTATCAGCTTAGCAATCCTCAGCCATGTGCCTCGCCTGGGATCGCGAGTTTAGCCGTTGTCAGTCCGGATGTGCCGCTGGAATGCCCTTCTCCGTATCCACCTCATCACAATCCCTTGTAGTTGTCTCCGTCTCTAGGCCCTCCATGCTTGATATGAATTCACCTGTACATCTCAGGGGCTGGTGGTGCCTGAGCGCATGACTCTCTTATCTGCTTTCGGCGAAAGGGGCCGCTTGATCTGGCTCGAGCGAGGATCACGACGACAGTACCTAGTCTTGGCAAATCAAAGCAACCCGGCGAGCAGTGGCTGACCAAGTCTGTCTTTCGATTCGGTGCAATTGGATCAAGCGGATGGTGACAAAGCCGACGGGACAGTGCCAATCCTCCTGACCTTCTACTATGAAAGGCCTCGTCCACCCTCCAGACCCCGCAGACAAGCCTCTCTTTATTCTCCTCTTCTTGTTCATTTTGTAGACACCTTGCTCATCATGCCCTATCCAAGGAATAACGATAACGTGCTCGTCATAGACCTCACCGGCGGCGATTACATTCCTTTGAGCAACATCTTCACCCGCAGCAGAGGAAAGCGCGCGAGAACTCAACCCGTCATGGATGATGCTTCCAATGGCCACAGACCCTCTAGCACCACCGACAACGAGGTCATCTTCGTTCGCAGCAGGACAAAGCACACGATGACGCTGATCGACCTTACGAAAGAAGGCTGCACTAAATGCAGGCTGAGCATTCAGGCCAAACGCGGCGGAATTGGTTATCGGACGCTGTTAGATTTCAAAGCGTTCTGGTATTGAAAGGAAGAAGAAGAAGATCTCTGGGGGAGAAGCCCCCATATGTATGTACAGGTGTGCCATCAGGGTGACCAGATATCATAACAATGGCGCCAGGATTCTTGTGGCTTGAGCGTGTTGTAAATGCCCTCAAGCTAAGCCCATCAGCACAGTCAGCCCCGAAAGCCTCGTCTAAGCCTGTTATGATATCCAACACGCCCTCTCAAACTGAAGGCATCACCACCACACAATTGTAAACAACAGTCCAACAACCTAGACCTTGGAGTACTACAGCACTTCTGAACCCCCTATTTGATTTCAACGAGTCCTAACAGCTGCAAAAATGAGCCAAACTTCGCCTTTGGCATGGCCTTGGTGAGGCCATCAGCTGGCATCTCGTCAGTACCAAGGAACTGCAGCGAGATGTGCTTAGTCTGAATTTCCTGGCGAATATAGTGCTCTCGCACTCGAATGTGCTTCGTTCGGCGATGGAATTCGGTGTTCTGAGCCAGATGAATGGCTCCAGCACTGTCAGAGTGCAATAGGAGGGTGTCCAGGGTGTATCCGAGCTCGTTTATCAGCTCTCGTAGCCAGGCAGCCTCATTCACGGCTTCACTGATGGCATAATACTCTGATTCAACTGTAGATTGTGCCACAACAGTCTGTAGCTTCGAGGACCACGAAATAGCGCCTCCAGCGAAGGTGAATAGGTAGCCAGAGGTCGATTTGGCACTATCCTTGATGCTACCAGTGTAGCTAGCATCACAATAACCAAGTAGAAGGGATGGGATGATGCCAGTGACCTCGCCAGAGGTCATTTTGGCATATTCAGGGCCTCCGAAACGAATGCCCAGGTCCTTCGTGTTCCAGAGGTATCGAAGGAGCCCCTGAGCCGCAGCAAGTTGTGCAGTTCCGGGGCGATGGAGGTACCGCGAAAGTACCCCCATTGAGAAGGAGATGTCAGGACGGGTGTAGCATGCAGGGAAATTCTCTGAGCCAATCAAGGATTGGTACTTGTGAGTTACTTCGGGCGAACTGCCATTCTCGGTGTCATCCTGGTCCATCTTCTCAACCGTTTGAGGCGAGATGGGTACGTTCACACGCCCAGTTCGAGCCTGATCAAAGGCTTCAGCAGTGCGTTGAATGTACGTGCTCTGTGACAGCCATAGAGTCCTTTTCGCACGATCCCTGACGATTTTAACGCCGAGAAAGTGCTGGGCAGTGCCTAAATCCTTCATTTCAAAGGCAACAGAGAGATCCTGCTTGAACAGATCAACCTTAGAGCGGTTGGCGCCCAGGATAAGGAAGTCATCCACGTAGCTAATCATAAAAATGCCACGCTCCTTGGAGTAGTAGACGGCGTTATCAGAGATTAGAGGTTCAAAGCCAAGGGTTTGAAGCGCGCCACGAAGGCGCTTCTGCCACTGACGAGGGCTCTGCTTGAGACCATACAGGGGCTTTTCGAGCTTGAGAATCATCCCTCGTCGCCAACCAATGGTGTTCTCTTCTGGATACATCTCAAAGAAGTCATCCAGGCCATCAGGAGTCTCCATATAGATCTCCTCATCTAATTCTCCCATCAGGAAGGCCGAAACGAGCCTGATTTTATCCCATGCATGGATACTACATCATATCACTGCTTCCTGACCAATCCTTTATAGCCGCTCGACAGCATTGAAGATGCGCCATCGGGCGAGGCATATTTACTGCGAATGATTCGTTACCGTCACCGCGAGATCATACACACCCAGACACATCAGATCTAGTCTTAAGGCAGATTCCCTACTATGACTCCCTGCTCTTCATTGGCTATGGAGATCGTGAGATCGCTAAACCTGATATGCCACCTTCTAGTAATAAATCTCGGCGGGGTTATCTTGAGTGTTTAGCATGCATCTATGTACAACTTACTTGCCAATCGTGCGGATGGATGAGTATGAGGACTTAACTCGGACAAGGGAACCTACTACTTCTCGGAATGTTTAACAGAGTTCACTGCCAATTTGAAAACCATGGAGGGCAAAACACCGCTGGCGTGACTCCCTGCCGAGGAGGCCTGGGATAACCCAACTGTGATACTGCAGTCACCTGGGATCACCTCGGCTGGAACGCAGCTAACCATCCTTTGGCCGTAGTCGAAAATTCTGCTGCTGGATGCGCTGGCTGGTGAAACCACTGGTTGGTCAAGGTAGGTTGCAAGGCAAGGCAAGAGGCGGCTAGGATTAGTAGGCTATAAATGGTCGATAGCAAGACGACGATTGTTACGTCGCATGGCGTCTGTGATAAGAAATCAGGTGGTTGGATGCTTAAGTGAGGGCACTATCAGGATGACTCATATGCAAACCACAAGGCAGAGGGACTGTTGACCTATGGATACAGACACCTTGGATCCCACGGTTTCGTACAGGGGGTCGGTGCCGGTCTTATAATCATTAGTAACCAATCATTCTAAGGAACATCTGCGACAGGTGATTTGGCAGCCGTTCAAAATCGGGTGGCAAATGCCCACCCAGGAAGTCGATCATCTTCCGGGGGGTGGAGGGAGGGTGGTGGCTATCTTGGCCAATGGTGCCCGTGGTCCAGTTCCTGCTCGTGGTCCAGTTTATTCTCGTGATCCATTTCCTGCTCATGATAGTTGAGGAAACCAGTCAATTTGATCAAGCTTCTTCAGAACACCAGGTACTTGTTCCCAGAAAGGCAGAATCACAATGTTTGTCTTCCTTCGTGGTCTCCTCGCCGTACTTGGACACAACCTTCTTGACGTATTGATCTTGACCAATGAATACTATCAAGTCAAGAGCACTTACTGCGGTATACATAATAGAGTTACGACCGCAACTGTCCGCCTGGATTGTGGTATCACACCTGTCAGTGTTACTGGTCTCAATCTTAGAAAGACTAATATTGCTTTAGGAGACTGGTTCTGTAAAGAATGTTTTGACCATAAGGTGAACCTAGAAGGAGAAGAGTTCTGCCCTCATTATGGCGGTCGATGGGAGATCTATCAGTCCGGTTCCTCGTCTGGGATAAAGATGAGTCTGCTCATCGGCCTCGATGCTTAGCTTCGAGACGCCGGACTTCTCTAGAAGTACAGGCGCGAGCGATATTATCGAGCCAATGCGCCCCGCACCGTTGCACAGGGAAACCCTGCGGCACGGCGTTCTCCCGGCCTTACGATCTTACCCGACACGAGAACACGATTCACAATCCGCGCAAGCCAAAGGTGCACTGTGACCTCTGCACGGAGGAGAAGACATTCAGCCGCGCCGACGCCCTCACGCCGGGTCTGCCACCCAGATGTCGAGTCCCCCGGCAAGGACCGAAATCGAGAGGCTGCCAAAGGATGGTGCCGTGGGAAACAGCCTATTAGTGAAGATGGCCTGCCATGCACCTCCATTCCCGTACTTGGCCTTGGTGAGCTGACGTGGTGGTGGATGCCACAAGACGCGGATGTCGGCGAGCCATTTACTAATAATAAGACGTGGAGTGGAAATTTGTCCTAGCAGACTTAAGGGGGACAGGACGTTTCTGCGCAAGTTCCTAGAGATGTCTGGCTACGTAATCAATGGAAGTTTATTGGGCCGTTGCAGCAATCAGGGATATCATTCGGGCTCCATGTTAGAAAATATCATATCTCGTTACAAAAATGCGCTGACGGGTGAAAAGCAAAACAAAACAGTACCGCTGACGGCTGCGTCAGTCCACAGCCTACGCCAACTTGGATGTCCAAAATACCCGACCAGACTTGGGGCTCTTCCAGTAGAAACATGAAGTACCGTCAGCATCCTGCTCCTTCCACTCCCTTAACCTGGTCTCAATTTCTTGATTATGTAGATTCTTAAAGCAGAGTTTCCCATTTCGTCGGTATGTCTCTACCCAGTGAGACTTCGTTTGTGATCTTGTGCTAGGACGCGATCGACTTTTAGCTGAGGATGTCTCAGCAACACTAGATGGCGGGCTGTGCGACTGCCTCGGGCGCTTCGAGGTGGGGTCTGTGCTGCTAAAACCAGAAGTAAAGCTCGTTATGAAACTTGTGGACGGGTCGCCATCTAGTGCTGCAGGCTCCTGAATGGGATATTGGGAGTCGTCATCCGTGTCGAGATATGGTGGAAGAGCGGTGAAATCAATGCTCTGATTGAAAATGTCTTGCTGAAGGTTGTCATGAGCGGTTTGAGATGTGTACGCAGCGTTGGCTATGGCTGGACTTGCGTCGGTTTGTGCAAGTAGATGAGACTGCTCCGCTCGGCTGTTGGCAGCCGCAATGAATTCATTACGGTACCCGCTTGCCATATCCCTCGCATTCCTGAACGCGGTGGCCCCGCCAACAAAGGTGTTCCGGTCACTCGTCATTGCAAAGGCCTTGACTTGAGTCATGTGGTACTCGGGCCGGCCCCCTGGAGTGGTCGGTGCTGTTGGGTGGTGAGTGTACAGCTTGAGGGTACCATCATGATATTTCGAGCTGAATGTGTGTGCATTATTGTCGTAGACCGGCTCGTCATTGCCATAATTCTGCAGGCTATGCATGGCGTGAGCTCCATATGCGCCGTCATGGCAAGCCTGTCGTAGGGCGACGTCGGCGCCCCCTCTTGGGGCTTTGGCCTCGAGGAAGAAATTCGGTGCCACCGGGACATCTGCATGTTTCGTAGGTATGATCGTTCGGCTGAGATCCTGCCTCACTTGGGAATGGATATCTTTCACTTGAGCCCCGTCGAAATAGTCTGGTACCAACTTGACAGTGGTCTCGTTGGTTAGCGACTCGAAGTTGGTGAACGGAAGGTGACCCTCGTTCGGGATGTCCGCATTGCCAGCGATTATCGGGATGACGTTACGCATCACTGTACCCTCCGACTTGGTTCTATTTTTCTTGGTGAACTCGCGAAATAGCGAATCAGGAATGCGCGATGGTGATAGTGAGGCTCTCGGGACTAATAATCCCTGCTGAATTTGGCACAAGTTGTCGGGTTCTCGCGTTACCCCACCTGCATGCTCATAGCCCTCCATATAGATACCACTGTCGTGGAGATGCTGTTCGAAAGCATCGTCGTATGCTGATGATCTCCTGGTCTTTGAGGAGAGACTCGTCGCGTTGGTGGTCTGCGTGTTTCGACTGGGCCGGGAGGATGTGGAGGACCGGTGAGCAGACATTTCGTTATGCTTTGGCTCTGGGCACTGAGATACGTAAGTTAGCTGACGATAGACAGCACAAGCACATAATCTAGGCATACCCCTCGAAGATGCCGAAGATCAGGACCGCCGCGTCTCGCGAAGCGGGCAATGCCACTGGAGAGAACTTCTTCGGTTGGTGTTCGGTCTCGGGGTCGAATATCGTTTCGCCGGTCGAGTTCACGCAGGGCGCGCGGCGTCAGCCAGACCTTGGACAGGTTGTCCCAGAATTCCGGTGAGAAGTTGGAAGCACGGTGGTGGCTTCTTCCCGACTTGATCTTCTTGCACGGATGGTCGCCTTGCGCGCCGTCGTCTGCGTGCTGTCTCTTTCGGTTCAGCGGCGTCGCCATGAGCGGCCATGTTTCGATGTCGGGCTGGGAAGGGGGTGCGAGGGGTTAAATGGGTTAAATGGGTTCTGAAGTGCCAGATGCGTGTCGTCCCATGGCGCGTCTTCGACGTTGAACGAAGGATTGGTCAGGAAGTAATAACGAGGTGTAATACACATGCAGGTGAGGAAGTTGGAAGTTGGTGACCACTCATTTATGCGCGCGCACGTTGGGAGCGGGGAAACGCCAAGCTATGCACGCCAAGCTCATTTTCATTGGGGACATCGGAAGCCGGACTCAATCCGTCCGACGGAGCTAAGCCTGATTGTACTAGTCCAGAATGATCAACTTCAATCGAGACGCCTATAAAAGTCGGCTCAAAAAGATTAACCATGCTGGCAGGTGCCACCGGCTGTCCGGCAGCCTTGGACACGTAGCCATAGCTATCCAGCCCTTCTGCGCTGCCACCTTGGAAAGCACAACAATACATCACCAGTTTCACCATCTTCCATTGTCGTGCCTCCCAACAAACCATGTTTCTACCGTGACTCTCATCGGAATACATCTCACCGGAATGAAAGTTAGTATTGCATTCCACGCTTTGTGTCACATGTGCTTATCTAGTTTCAGGACATCCTCATTCAAGGAAGATATCGCGTTGATCGCAAGATTGGCGAAGGAGGATTCGGCCTGGTATATTCTGGTCTGTTACCTCTATTCATCACAGACTAAATAATAAGCTGACTTCGAAAGGGACCGACCTGGATAACGGCAATGAAGTTGCTATTAAAATCATGGAATCCAGGAATGATCCTCGAGAACTCAAAGAAGAGGCCGACACATATCGAGCGTTAGCTGGCAAGGTTGGAATTCCGCAGGTATACTGGTTTGGAGAGGAGGGAAGTTATTACGTGCTCGTACTCGAACTTCTCGGCCCGTCACTCGAGGATCTGTTCAATTATTGCGACAGACGATTCTCACTCAAGACAATCCTCCTCATTGCTGACCAGGCCATTTCTCGAATCGAAGATATCCACGGCCACGTTCTCCATCGCGATATCAAGCCTGACAACTTTCTCATGGGGATCAGCAAGCAGGGAAATATCTTATATACCATTGATTTTGGCCTGGCAAGGGAGTTTTTTGATGACAAACAGGACCGAGGCTATCAGGGTCTCCCCTTTGGTGGGACTACCCGCTACGCCAGTATCAAGAACCACAAAGGCCTTGGTAAGCATCCCCAGGCACTCCTCATGGCTGCATCGCTGCTTACAAAATTAAAGAGCAATCATGGGGTGATGACTTGGAATCCCTAGGGTACATGCTCCCCTACTTTGCTCGTGGTTCTCTCCCTTGGCAAGGTCTGAAGGCCGCGACAGAGGACAAAAAGCGCGAGCTTGTCCAACAGAAGAAGATGGCTCTATCAGGCGAGGAGCTTTGCCGTGATCTGCTGCCGGCTGAGTTTGCCAAGTATATTGATTACACACGATCGCTGGGTTTTCAGGTCAAACCTGACTATAGGTATCTTCGTACCCTTTTCCGCACTCGCTTTCAATCTGAGGGCTTCAAGTACGACAACGTCTTCGATTGGACTATCAAAAGGTTCGATGATATTCACGAGTCGGTGGAGAACCAGAATTCGGCACGTTAGCAATCGAGCAATCATGTACAGACCTAGTGATGCGATGAGAAAAGGAGTGGATAAAGGCAACCCCGTCGAGCCGTCCATATCGGCCCCCTTAGTAAGGAGTAATTTGACGATCTCCATGTAGCCTCCAGCCAATGCTCCATAAAGCGCTTGTTCCATACTCTTCATCCTCGTAAAACCTACCCACTTCTTGGGCATCTACCTACGCGCATGAGACTACAGGAGAGGTGTACGGTTATGTCGTAGCTGTCGACATGTTTGGCAAAGCTTACGTCATGCCTTTGGATCATGCGCTTCTCGATATCAAAGCACATCTTCAGGCCGATAGGGTCTGCCTTCCGCTGGAGGTTCCCATGTAACACGCAGTGTTTGCCTCTGCCTTTCTATTAGACCAGTATCTGCCGGGGATGCACTGTAAGTCAACGGTCTGAAGGACAATAACATTGCTAGTCTTCGATCCTGTCACAGTACAATGCTCCCTGCATAAAGATACTTGCCATGCGATATCTAGAAGCTGTGTTCTAGCGGACCAGGACTCTAGACAATTTCTACTGCCGTCACGATTCACCCATCTTATTGATATGGCAATGGTAAAGCAAATCAAACACCTAAAAACCTTTGGATCAACGGCAGCGGCTCATAGGGAACTTCTGGCTTATTATCGAGAGCGGTGGGAAGCCCTTCATTTGGAAGACACGGGTCTCACTTGCCTTCGGCACACGCCTCAATATTGCCTACCATGCGGGCACATGGTGTATGAGAACTGCTTCGACATCTTTAGTGACAAGGACGATACAAATCGATAGATTCGGTGTCGCGAGAGCTGCATGCTTCGCGGTAACTTGCTCTCTTCTGACCACATGAGGTCTCTTCACCAGAATACCTCGCAAAGGAATACTTCCGCTGGTTGTGTGTCTGTGTGTGGGCTTCAACCCTCGTAGGCTTGGCTGGAGTCGGAGCTCTTCGCCGATGGTCTTGCGTGCTTCTGTCCCCTATGCGTGGAACACACGGCTGTATCTTGATGCTGATGGATAGTTCAGCACGATATGTTTCATGAATGACTAGTCAGGAGAATATGGAGTCATACTCTTCAACCATCAAGTCAATTTCAAGCGGCGGTTTGAGCTCGTGCTTCTTGAGCTCTTGCAAATCAGTAAGAAGGAGTTTCGTAGCGTGCAGGGCTGGATCCGTAATGCCAACCAGCTCTCCAAAGTGCTGGCCGGTCTGCTCTTCTCGCGTGCCTTCCATGTCTTCCTATCTAGAGTTTGAGGGGAGTTGTAGTGTAGCAGCCGATTTGTGCCTAGAGACGCGATCTAGTTTCTGTTGCAACCAGAACTAATACGGTTTAATTTTAGTAATAACGAGCTATGTAATTATCTACTCTTTAGCTACCATATCTGGCTTGTTAATGTATATCTCATTGTCTGTTTCAACTACCTTGACTTTGATGTCGTATTGGCGTTCCAGCCATAAGAGGTGCGTTGACACCACACGGATGATTGTTTGCGGAGTTCGATTCTCGAGAGCATAGTCCCATGAGACACCAGAGTTTCTGCACATAAAGACCATGTGAGATGACTCGTTGAACAGCGATCTCTCGTAATCGTGGAAGTCTAGAGCTAATCTCTCTCCTGGATCTTCGTAGTTAGATTGTGGTGCTCTCCGTATATGCTGTCTGGCCTTGGACATTCCGCATGACTCGCATTCCACTCCCGTCGGTCCTCGGATGACCACCCCCTGAGATGCGTGCACTAGGTGTTCCAGAGCTTCTGGGCCAGGATGTCCTAGTCGTTGATGCCATAGCCACGCGTTCCCAGTGAGGGGAGGTCTTCTGGACCATGAGTTGTGTAGATGCTTCTTGCTTGGTTGTGCGGTGTGAAACATAGCGTTCGGGTTGTTCGGTTGGTAGTTGATGACATATTGGCCGTACATGTCCTTGATATGGCCGACCAAGGTATTGTCTTTTCTTTTGAGACTGGTCTGCCTTTCCTTGTTGTCCCACCAATATCCTCTCCGTCTGAGTTCTCGTAAGGACACGAGAGTAGTAAGGAGTGAGGGGCTGTAGGCTGTATTTGGAAAGCTGATAATCGTGCTTCCGATGCGTACTTGCATATTGCCGTACGCTTGGATGGGTAGAGGGCGGTCTCCTGACCATACAAAATCCCCTGGTGGCGCAGTCCTCTAGCTGCTTAGACGCCCGCAGTCCCACTGATAGCTTGTGCCAGGAAACGATTCTGTATACGTCCTTTGGTTCGGTTGCTGAATCGATCAGAGTCCGCCAGTACTCTCTCCTGGCTTTCCGAACCACGCGGCGAAAGTCCCGTCGAGCCGAATTCCGCCCTTCTTGGCTTGCGGTCTGTTTGGAAAAGGCCCTGTATGTCTTAACAGCTGCTTTGCATTCGTCATTCCACCAAGCAGTGGGCCTAGATTGGCGGGGCTTCTTGCCCACTGTCCTGACGCAGCCTTGGATCACGTCGATTAAGCTCTGCGTAAAGGCATCCACCTGGCCAGGGGATGCACCTAGCCGGGGGAGCTCGTGAATCCTGTTTTGGACATTATCAACCAGCTCTTGTAGTTTGTCGTCCGGTGCTATCCATCAATCGGCCTTAGGGACCCGGTCCAGGTCTCCCTGAATCGGAACCCTCTATCACCCTTAATTCATCTTATTATGTCAGATGCAAGCGAGTTCAGATTATTTAGGTTGTCAAGTGTGTCTTGTTATCGTTGTTCTTCTGCTTCACCCCTTGAGCGTGCAGAAATTGATGATCTATCTTCTGGGTGGGTCAGATGCCCTGTGCGTCTCTGCCCCACTGGAGATCTTCCGGTGTCTATTTCCGGCTCCCATTCAACACAATCAAAGTCCTGACCATACCGTACGGAACGGCCCGACACTAGTAATCTTATTCTCCACATCAACCGGCCTTTATGCTAGATGCGTTCACGGTTTAGTTTAGTTTAGTTTATTTAATTCTGTTGGATTCAAGCGAGTTCAGTGATTGGAGGGTGATTCTTCGTGTATTGCATGTAGTGTCCTGTATCTGTTCTGTCTGTTCAGGTGCCCCTGATCGGTTCCCAGTTTGGTGCTGGTCATCTCCGCCGTACCGTGGTTTTTCCGGTCGGACTCGGCTCATCTTCATGACCCCTGTTATCCAACAAATTCAAGGATTACGCCAGGATAGCAAATTCTGGACTAGTTAGATCGACAAACAGCTTCTTAATAGTTTTTATGGCATGCCGTTAGGAACTGGATCCTAGGGAAACTAAAGCTAATGTTCGTGACGAACGAACCAGATCTCACTCTTTCTGCCAGAGCGCGTTCGAGTTTAGCTGCACCTAACTCTCGTGTAACAAATCGAATCTTCCGCAATTTAAAGGCATCGCGTTACTTAATGGAGCTCATGAGACACTAAACCTAGAATAGGACTTTCTAGTCTCGTATTGCCGTACTTCTCGCCCGGGTTGATGGTTATGTGGTCGACTTCGATGTTATGGAGCAGCTTCACGCTCCGACCCAAACTCCCCAAACTCCGAGTCGATGATCTCATCTCGGTCAGGTCGTTAATGTCTCTTTTGCTCTTAACCATGGGATGGGATGGTCCGCGTCTTTCATCATTTAACGGAAGATAGGACATGTCTGCGACTTCTGTCGAGTTCTATGGTGGAGTGATACTGTACAATTACATTCTATTTAGATGGACGTTGCTTCCGCGCTCCTTTACGATCGAATGCCTGAGCTATAGTTCGAAAGCGGATCATTAATGGCTTCCAGAAATTCTGATCTAAATAGGGTTACTTTACTGCATATATGGGTGAGTTTGCAATGAATTATGGGATAAATTGGACAATGTTCAGGGAAAATAAAACGGAATCATCAGCCGGAATTAGATTGTGACCAAGACCAGAACCTAGAGTAGGAACTGGATCAAAAAACAAATTTCTGCCCTATTAGTGTGACGAGCCTCCCTCGCCATAAGGCTCAGCAATAAAACTTGCACCTTGGATCTTTGTACAACACTCGTACTACGGCAACGCATCCCAGGTTGTATATTAGGAATGGAGAGAGAGAATAATGCTGGTGGAGAATCCGGTCAGCAGTTTTTCCATATTCGCAAAAGTTATCACGCAGGAGATCTAGATGTCGAAAGCTACTGGGAGTCTCTAACTCCGCATTGCCATCGATGTCTTAAACAGCTGCTCCGACACCGCCGACGTACCCATTATTGCCACAGTGAGGGCAATGCCTCTGAGAAGAGTCTTGTAGAGGCATTTGACCGCTTACTGTGTATTCCCGGCCTATGGCAGGGGATGAATTTAGGCTCAGTCCACAAGATATTGGCTATGAGGTGCGATGAGGTAAGTCAAGCCAGCCCACTTCCAACTCAACAAGCTTACATTTAGTATAGAAGGTTTTCAATTATCTGAGCCACATTCTCGTAGTATAGACCAGAATCTTCGATAGAGACCTTTTAGCCATGGATCGGATTACGGCCGCCGACGTGAAGGCATTGGAGCTGACATGTCCCAAGTTTTCCGCTACAGACGCCCAAAGCCTCCAGTCTCGGCTTCAGAGTGGAGAGATACTTCAAAGCTTCAACTCCGAAGAGCACAAAGGGATCTATAAAAACTTACTTGCGATCGACTGCCCGATACCTTCACTGTATACATTCTTCAAAGATGCCAAATACCTGGAGTCCTGCGCGGAAAGCATGCGGCTCGTCATCGGCCTCTCAGGCAGGAGCAATCAGACTGTTGATGCAGCTCTTTGGGATTCTTTTCAGCAGAACCGAGATGAATTTCGACAGCGAGAAGAACGCTTGTGGTTATACGTAGCGCAGAACTATCCCGACCTATCACAACCAACGCATAAGAAGAACATCTTGGCGAAAGCACAAACCGAAAAGGCCAAGGAAGTAGTCTTGTATGGTGTGGCCATGGAGGCCTACAAACAAGGATTTGAAAACGAGCGCATCAACGAATTAAGATCCCGGGTACTAGGTCCAGCTGCTGCAGACGATGAACTTCCTAGAAGCGATATGCCGCGGACAACCAATATGAGGGCAGATGAGGTCGAGAGAAAGAGAAGATATGGATTTCCGAGCGAAACACAGCATCATCACGACAAGCACTTGATAGTCTTAGAAAACATCAGGGCAGGAAATAGTTCAGATACCCGGGTTACGTCTTTCTTTATCCAGAAGAGCGTTCTATTAGCTTTCTTTGCTAAAGAAAGCAATGATAACCATGAGGGCGTTACGCAATCTGTGTATTCTCACACTGCCTATCCTCTACACCGTCCGTCGGGCCATAATGACCTATACGAATCCATATCTAGCTTGGTCAGGCGCCGCGATGAGCAGAGCGCGTATGAAGAGGCCTCCTTTGTTGACTGGATGGACGCGAGTCAATATGAAGATAGCCAACAACAAGATCAGCCATTGTTGCCCTTGAATCAATCTGCCAGGCCGGCGCTGGACTTACCGCTTGAGGCGCCGCCGATCGGGGGACAGAGCAGGTACATTGGAGGTTCTATATCTACTCAGAAAGAGAATGTACGGTTTATGACTCGCGAAATGCAGGAATGGAACATAGTGCAACAAGTTGCGAACAATGCTACTGACGTGGAGGCGGCTGCAGAGACGTTGCTGATCAGCGGGCTACGAGCGTTTTCCACCACGATGCAACCACTTCTCCCAAAGGAATGCTTCGCTGCTGCTGGATTGAGTCGTGGGAATGTCCTCATCTTACTGCCTGAAGATGATATTCACATCACCCGAGAGCTTGCCGCGTCGGCCTTGCACTTAGGTGATTGATTAGGACAAGATAAGCCTTTGTTGGGCGTTATCTGTATTAATCCCTCAAGGAAGACAGTTGTTGCGATAGATTTCTCAGACTGGGCCATTGGAGGTGTAATCTCCCATTCTGGTAACGGAAACAACACGGTCAACCTCGACGAGTTACCATCTGAAGTTGGTACTCGTCCTATAGATGTCGATGCCCGCATTTTACCTCCTGTAGGGTTGATGTTCCTGTTGCGCGATTTGCACGTTTTTCTGGCAATTTCCGAATCCCTCTGTACTTGCCTTGCTTTGGTATCTTCTGATCCGTCCGTGGGCTTTTGGCCTATGGATGCTTGATTACACGGCTTCGGATAGGCCTCCGGTGGGGTTTGGTGCCTGTCTGACTGTCATCGTCAACCAAGCATTCTGAGGAGCCATCGGCTTCTCTTACATGCTCTGGTTACTACAGGCAAACCGTAAGGCAACTCGAAAGACGACTGGGAATTATTGGCCATCAAATGTCACAATAGTCATCCAGACTCGTCGCGCTACGAGGTCTCTTCTCATCAGAATACCTCGCAAAGGAATATTTCCGCTGGTTGTGTGTGTATTATCCCAGCCATCCCAGGTAATCTTATCGTAGAATGCCCTGGATGACAGGTGATCCGATAAGGTACTGGTGGCTGGATCCAGTGGCTGGGATCCACATGGATGTCTGGACATATAATCCGAGGCACTTATAGTTGTTGAATGGGAGCCGGAAATAGACACCGGAAGATCTCCAGTGGGGGCGGTGAACGTGGAGCAGCAGGTTGGACAAGATTATGCTGGGGATGGAGATGCAGATGCTGACGGCTCGGGCAGTGGCCGAGGTGGGACCGTCAAGAAACCTTAGCAACCATCCTCTTCAGTGGGTAGCCAGCCAGCATACCACAGTCTGAGGAGCAACACAACAGTTGATGGTAGACACCCCAGTTAAGAATCATACAGTCGCAAAAGAAAATATGTTGCGGTGTTTTCCTTTCACCACAGCTGTAGTGGTCATTCGAGTATGTATGCCCGAAACGTTCGTGGTATCCAGCAAAGTCGCCATGCCCAGATCTAGCCGCTAGAAGTCTGTGTAAAGTACTCCTTTCGAAAGATATGAGGTTCCTTTTGGTTACCGCATGCGAGTATACTTCTTGATACCTAGGTTCTGATTGACCTTCCCACCATTGATCGAATTCTCTCTTGCCCTTCCTCTTGAGATCTCTCTTTACCCAAGAGATTGTGGGAAGGTTCGTCGCTTCCGTTTCTAGCATGGCACCCTCTTTTGCTAGTGCGTCAGCAGCTTCGTTGCCATCGATATCTCTGTGTCCAGGGATCCACTTGACGGTCACCCCAGGAGTGTGTGCTGTGGCGAGTTCTTGAAATCGTAGGAAAATGTTCTGTGATGTTTCGGGTGGAGTCCCATTGAGCCCATCTACCACCGACGTGTTGTCAAGGCAGACGTAAAGCCGTTTGTCGCGCCCAATCGCCCTGGCTGCTGCGAGACCTTGGAGAGCGCCATGGACTTCAGCATCTACCACTTCTGCTTGGAGAAGTCTGCCCTTTCCCCGATACACTTCTTGTGTAGTGTCGCCTTTTCTAATGGTGAAACCCCATCCAGTGCGGGTTGTGCCTTGGTCGTCCAACTGCGATCCATCCGAGTATATGACCAGGTCAGTGTCCACGTTTCTCCCCCGTAGCCAATGCTTAAAGAGCTCTGTTTCTTCGTCTTTGTCCTTACGGACTGGGGGCTTCTTCCACGATGGCTTGGTAAGTGTCGGTCTCTGGAAGTCAGGAACTAGCTGGTAGCTCCTTTGTAGCCTTGTTGGTTCCTTGCGGGCTTGTACTCGGAGCCTGCCGACGAGAGGGTGTCTCTGATCTATTCGTCCGAGCCGGAGGCCGTGACGTCGTCTTATTGACTCCGCGAGAACTCCTGCTGGGGGAATTTGTGATTCAAAGTGGAGGATATGTCCAGGGTGTGTTTTCCAGACCGGCAAGATAGCCCTGATCGCCGTTCGTAGTACGGCATCTATCGTTGCAAGAAGCCCCTTGATGCGACACGCTAATGTCACGCCTAGGCTCCTAGTCTTTTCCATTCCCGGGTACCAGGCCTCCAAGCCGTGTGTAAGAATAGGGATAACGCAAGCTATTGCAGCCCTCCTGGTTGACTTTACTGGAAGTCCTTTGACCGTGTTGCATAGTCCTCGAAGGTGATTTGCTACCCTACTAGCCTTCTCGGCCCAGTGGGAAACGTGACCTTTGAAGTTTAGTTACCCCGGAAAAATGTTGGCATCATCCCATTCCTAATGCTTGACCTCGTGCGCTTGGCTGAGTGCTACGATATTGATCAACGGGTGGATTAGGTGGAGTTGGTCCCAGCCCTGCTCTAGGCAACAGCAGACAAGAGCCCTCAGGATGAACCATTATCCAACACAGAGGCATATGAGAAGTGGTTTATTTCTTTCCCTATAGTCACTACTACTACTACTACTAACAACAATATACCCACTTACCACTCAAGCATCCCATTCCCAGCAAACCAATTTACTCGTCACCCAGCGAAATCGTACTTCCTGGAGGCATTCATCGCCGATGCACCCGATGCGATGACAGCATTCGCTCCTACAATATGGGCAGGAAGACCATCCGCCAACGTCCCGCCAGTTGTGCAAGCATGCCTGGCAAAACACATGTCCTGGTAAGTGTCAGTCGCTTAGCTATACGCAGAGGGAGTCCGTACGTACCACACTTGGTGAATGCGGTCGGATTGACAATCGAGTTGTGGCAGATTCCGCATTCACTCCCGAGGCCATAGGTGGGTCTCAGTGGTTGGGTTGGCGGCCAACGCTCCTGATGGTCTTCGGTGCGACATGGTTTCGCCGAGGGTCCTTTTGCACACCTAGAACAGATCGCCTTCGCGGCGTCAGCAAACTGCAGGCTTGAACCCCAAGGTTATACTTACACAACCGCAACCTGCGAACCGAAACATTCCGGTGTCGTTCTGGAGACAGTCCTCGCATTTAGTACAGCCGTCTTTCGTAAGGTCGATCAGCGTCATTGTGTGCTTTGTCCTGCTGCGAACGAAGATGACCTCGTTGTCGGTGGTGCTAGAGGGTTTGTGGCCATTGGAAGCATCATCCATGACGGGTTGAGTTCTCGCGCGCTTTCCTCTGCTGCGGGTGGAGATGTTGTTCGAAGGAATGTAATCGCCGCCGGTGAGGTCTATGACGAGCACGTTGTCGTTGTTCCTTGGATAGGGCATGATGAGCGAGGTGTCTACAAAATGGACAAAAAGAGGAGAATGAAGAGAGGCTTGTCTGCGGGGTCTAGAGGGTGGACGAGGCCTTTTATAGTAGAAGGTCGGGAGGATTGGCACTGTCCCGTCGGCTTTATCCCCATCCGCTTGATCCAATTGCACCGAATCGAAAGGCAGACTTGGTCAGCCACTGTTCGCCGGGTTGCCTTGATTTGCCAAGACTAGGTACTGTCGTCGTGATCCTCGCTCGAGCCAGATCAAGCGGCCCCTTTCGCCGAAAGCAGATAAGAGAGTCATGCGCTCAGGCACCACCAGCCCCTGAGATGTACAGGTGAATTCATATCAAGCATGGAGGGCCTAGAGACGGAGACAACGACAAGGGATCGTGATGAGGTGGGTACAGAGAAGGGTATTCCAGCGGCACATCCGGATTGACAACGGCTAAACTCGCGATCCCAGGCGAGGCATACGGCTGAGGATTGCTCGATGCCGTTTAATCGTGACCATGATGCACTGCTTCGACGGGAGCCCGCCATCCCGGGTGCTGTCCCCGCCGTCTCCACTCCACAGGAGAGCATGAGTACCATGAACCAGAGGCTGGTCAATAACATCCGACGTTTGTGGTCCTCACCCGATTCCCGATGACGAGTTTTTCTTTGAGTATGCCCTGCGCTTTGGCAACGTCGAGACTTCTGTTGAAGGGTCAATGCACATATGGGTGGGCATTGTTGTATTGTTTGTTTGTTTGTTTTGTATTTAACGTGGGGGGTAGCTCCTCAGTAGTGCAAACCACGCCTCCCAGAGCCTCTGCATCGCAGGGTTGTGGAGGTCTCAAGATAATAAGTACAGTCAGTCCCGCTCACGGACCCATCCCCGTTGTTGCGGCGGTATGACCTTGGGGTCATCCATCTGGTCCTTTGAGGAAGGCTATCTATCGGGGGCAGATTGTTGAAAAGAACTTGCTCTTCTCCACGAATTTTGTCCATTCTGTGCTCCTCTCCCCTAAGTATTGTAAACAAGCTGCCCTAGGCGAATGCCTAGGCAGTAGCCGATTTTTCCCCAGCCTCTTACAAAAGAAAATGTGTTGTGGTGTTTTCTTCTCACCACAGCTGCAGTGATCATTTGAGTCTGTGTGCCCAAAGCGTTCATGGTATCTGGCAAAGTCGCCATGTCCAGATCTGGCCGCTAGAAGTCTGTGTAAAGTACTCCTCTTAAAAGATATAAGGTCTCTTTCAGTTATTGTATGTGAGTATACTTCTTGATATCTAGATTCTGATTGGTCTTTCTACCATTGGTTGAACTCTTTCTTGCCCTGTCTTTTGAGATCTCTCTTGACCCAAGAGATTGTAGGAAGATTTGTTGTGTCTGTTTCTAGCATGGCACCCTCTTTTGTTAGTGTGTCGGCAGCTTCGTTGCTATCAATATCTTTGTGTCCAGGAATCCATTTGACGGTCACTCCAGGAGTGTGTGCTGTGGCAAGTTCTTGAAATCGTAGAAAAATGTTTTGTGATGTCTCGGGTGGAGTCCCATTGAGCCCATCTACCACTGACGTGTTGTCCAGGCAGACATATAGCTGTTTTCCGTGTCCAATTGCCCTGGCTGCTGCAAGACCTTGGAGAGCACCATGGACTTCAGCATCTACTACTTCTGCTTGTAGAAGTCTGCCCCTTCCCCGGTATACTTCTTGTGTAGTGCCGCCTCTCCTGATGGTATAACCCCATCCAGTGCGGATTGTGCCTTGGTCATCCAACTGTGATCCATCTGAGTAGATGACAAGGTCAGTGTTCACGTTTCTCTCTTGTAACCATTGCTTAAAGAGCTCTGTTTCTTTGTCTTTGTCTTTGCGGATTGGGCGCTTCTTCCATGATGGCCTGGTAAGTATTGGTCTCTGGAAGTCAGGGACTAGCTGGAAGCTCCTTTGTAGCCTTGTTGGATCCTTGCGAGCTTGTATTTGGAGCCTGCCAACCAGAGGGTGTCTCTGATCTATTCGTCCTAGTCGGAGGCCGTGACGTCGTCTTATTGACTCTGCAAGAACTCCTGCTGGGGGAATCTGCGATTCAAAGTGTAAGATATGTCCAGGGTGTGTTTTCCAGACTGGCAAGATAGCCCTGATCGCCGTTCGTAGTACGGTATTTATTGTTCCAAGAAGCCCCTTAATGCGACATGCTGATGTCTCACCTAAGCTCCCAGCTTTCTCGATTCCTGGGTACCAGGCCTCCAGGCCATGTGTGAGAATAGGAATAACACAAGCTTTCACAGCCCTCTTGGTTGACTTTACTGGAAGTCCTTTGACTGTGTTGCATAGTCCTCGAAGGTGATTTGCTACCCTACTAGCTTTCTTGGCCCAGTGAGAAACATGGTCTTTGAAGTTTAGTTTCCTATCCAGAAGGACACTTAGCCATCGCATGGAATGCTTAGCTGTTTTGTTCATTGTTCCGTGGCAAACTGGGGGATTGTCTGAGTTCTTTTTCCGTAAGAAGTGCATGATCTCGGTTTTGTCGGGATCAAATTCAATAGCATTGTTATATCCCCATTGATTGAGCAAATGAAGGTTTTCAGAAGCCTCTGTAGCTGTTTCTTCAAGGTTCTTTCCAATGCAGAGTGTTGCTAGGTCATCTGCATATCCAAAGCGTCTTCTTTTCATGCCAAGTCGGGCACAGATTGGCTCTGTATACAGCATGTAGAGGATTGGAGAGACTGGTGAGCCTTGTGGGAGCCCACAAGTGAGAGCTTTTATATCGGTCACAGTGCCTTCAAACCGAACTCTTGCGGACCGCTCGGACATGAACGACTGGACCCATCTTATGAGAAAGCCTGGCCAGCCCTGTTCTCTCATGCGAACCACCAGCCGTCCCATTAGGGCAGCATCAAAGGCCCCTTTCACATCTGATGTGACTACCGTTGCAACGAGGCCTTGGTCAAGGGCCTGCTCAATATCGTGTATGAGTGCAGCTACCAGGTCAGTGGCAGAGCGCTTTGGTAGACCTCCAAAATGTTGTGGGGCTAGAATTCCAAGTTTGACAACAAACCAGGTAATTCTTTTCGCAATGAGTCGTTCTAGGCCCTTGCCAAGACATGACAGTAGCGATATTGGTCTGTAGGCCCTGGGATTGGAGTAGTCTTTCTTTCCTGGTTTTGGGATCATCACCACCTCAGCTACTTTGAATGGTTTAGGGTGGTGTCCAATCAGTAGGCAGGTCTGGAAAAGGGCTCTGATATGTTCACCAATGACTGGCCAGCAAGCTTTCAGAATCCGTACTGTGAGGGTATCTACTCCCGGGGAGTTGCTCTTGGTTCCTAAAGTGCACCCTTCAGCCTCTTCCAGTCCGACGTGGTATTCAAGGGGGATGTGTGGCTTGGGTTGTATGATCTGAGCGGACCAGGGGTCGATGATATCGTTGTCTGAGGTACTTCGTTCAAGCGTGGCTGAGCGTAATGCATTTGCCTTGCTCTCTTGTGACTCGAATATTTGGTCTCCTATGATGATTGGAGGGGAACGCAATCCTGCTGATAACTTGTGCCAAGAGACGATTCTGTATAGGTCCTTTGGCTCAGTTGCTGAATTGATTAGAGTCTGCCAGTACTCTCTCCTAGCTTTCCGGATAGCAAGGGGGAGAGGGGAAAAGACATGTTTCTCGCACGACGTGTCAAAAACGGGATTGTTTGTGTTAAGCCACATCCATCCTCAGCCACATCCAGTGGCTTTAAGGTGGCTTTGCCCAGCGAGATAGGCACTGTCCGAACTAAGGCTGCCGGGCAGTCGACGGCACCTGCCAGCACTAAGTGGTGTTTTTTTTGGGGGGGAGGGGGGAGGGAGAGGTTTTTTTCCCCTTGCCAACAGGAGCTCTATTAGGTGTACTTAAAGGAGAAGCAGGCCTGCAGGAAAGGGGGCCTACGAAGAGCGCCACACAGAAGGAACCCAAGGCACCCGAGCACGTGATGTAGAGAATGAGGATCACGTGACCAGACTCTGCTCACGACGACTCAGTGAGCAGCAGTGAGCACAACTCTATCAGTGAGGGAGAGATTGGATATATAAAGATAGACATTTTCTAGCTAGTGTGAGGGCGCACACCAGCACAATCTACTGCGCCCCACATCACACCCTGGCCAGCACTAGATAGGGATCATCTAGATGGCTCTGTCTCCCACCTGTATCTAGCTCTCTTCTTTCTTTCTTCATCTTCGATATTTTCGTCTATAGAGCCGGTTACCCCTTGTCGTCTGCTTTGTCTCGTCCTAGGTGCCACTCACCGTGACACAATATCGAAGATCACCACTCCCATCTGGACAGCTGGGCAGCCTTGTCTCCCAAACTCCAGATTCCCTTCTTTTCGCTTGTAACTCTACGGGCAGCTCTGCCTCCCGTTTTACGAGCTTCATCTCAAACCCATCCAACCTCATTCCGCCCGATTAGGATCATGGCGAGGAACGACACCAGTCCGGAGTCCAGGACTTCCGAAGGCGCTGCAGAGCGCAAGTCGCAGTCAGACAGAGAGTCTGCTACTGCTTCCAAACAAGCATTTAACCCCAAACCGAATACTCGCAGCCGAAAGAAGCCGACCCTGAAGAAGGCGAAAGGCAAGTAACTCGAACAACTTCAAGCTGAGATCGTGGTCGCTGGCCCCTCGGGAGCCAATTTGCCAGCGTACCCACCTTCAGGGATTCGAAATGAAACCCATCCCTACCAGGACCCAGCCGTACCGCAACCCTCGTCTGAAATGGTCCAACTGCTGCGTGATGAGATCAACCAGCTCCGCAGACAGGTCCTGGAAATGAACGTTGAGCACGCTTCCAGGCATTCGTCGAGAACATCAACTGCAACCCGCAGACCTAGAAGGAACCAACGCCTAGAAACCGGCAGGCAAAGAACGTCCGGACCCCCGTCTGCGGCCTCCATAACGCGCTCAAACCCAGTCATCCCTTCGGTTGAGACACGGCATACAGTTCCCCCCGCTGAGACCCACTGGGCACAGACTGAACGTGCTCCAGCAGCGGCTCCGCAT